CAAGACTGCAAAACCAAGAAGTTGCTCCAAGCTCTGTGGGAACCCCTGCTGGCCAGTGAGAGTGTGGTCCCTAATTTAGCAGCTGTGACTTTCTCCCAGTGATGTGGTGATTGGCTAAGGCTGGACTTCTACAACACCCACTGCAGATTCCTTGAATGAGAACACAGGTGAGTGTTCACCAAATGGGTTTGGGGTGGATTCCACCCCTTTCTGTTTGAGATAGCTAGCCATTTAAGGGGCCAGGACGTCCAGGAGAATCTCTCTGTTTCCATTTCTGATAAAGAGGGGAATGAATGACAACAGCACGTGGGCCCCGAGCAACCCCCCTGCCAAGGCTGGCTTTTCAGACAAGCCTATTAGCGGTTTCAACACCTGAGTCTTAGCATGTCCACTTCCCTCCACTACCAAAGGAAACTTCAAGCCTGAAAGGGACTTGGCAAGCATGTTATTAATAGCTGTCATGCTTATTAACAAATTTAATCCTGCCTGCTGCAGAAATGAGTTGTGGCAACGAGACACAGTCTCGCGACACACTTGGTTGATGTACATCTTAATCTGGCCCTGATTTTCAGCACTCACGTTCAAGTTCCCCAGCGCACAGGAAACCTGAGGAGATCAACAGTGGGGTTTGCATTGGGCATCATGTTTTCAATCATGGAGAGGCTGGTACTGATACTGTGACTACATGAAAAACCAGCATCCATGGGCTGAGCAAACACTTTTACCTGAGTGAAAGGACTCTTGGAGAGGTCAACAACATAGCTGACATTTTAATATCTTGTTAGTTGCTGCTGTTGTTGTTGTTGTTATGTGCCATCGAGTTGGACCCGACTCATAGTGACCCCTCCTTCGGTTTTCAAGGCAATATCTCTACAGAAGTAGATTGCCCAACCTTCCTTCTGAGGAGTGGCTGGTGGATTTGAACTGCCAGCCTTCTGGTTAGCAGTCAAGTGCCTTAGGTACAACACAACGAAACACTACCTGGTCCTGCACCATCTTCACAATCTTTGCTATGCTTAAGCCCATCATTGCAGCCACTGTGTCACTTCATCTTCTTCAGAGTCTTCTCCTTTTTTGCTGACTCTCTACTTTATCAAGTATGACATCCTTCTTCAGAGACTGGTCACTTCTGACAACCTGACCACAGTGAGGCAAAATCTGGCCATTCTTGCTTCTAAGGAGCATTTCGGCTTTACTTCTTCCAAAATAGGTTTGCTCGTTTTTCTGGCAGTCCATGGTATTTTTGGTATTTTTCACCAGCACCACAATTCAAATGTATCATTTCTTCTGTGGTCTTCCTCATTCATTGTCCAGCTTTCACGTGTATATAAGGCCACTGAAAAATCTGTGGCTTGGGTCAGGGGCAACTAATCTTGGAAGTGACATTTTTGCTCTTCAACACTTTAAAGATGTCTTTTGCAGCAGATCTGTTCAATGCATTATGTCATCTGATTCCTTGACTATTGCTTCCATGGGCATTGACTGTGAATCTAAATAAAATGAAATCCTTGACATGATTCTGCTTATTGGTCCCATTTTGAGGACTTTTGCTTTCTTTGTGTTTAGTTGTAATCCATATTGAAGACTGTAGTCTTTGTTTTCTTTCTCTTTTTTTTTTCTTTTTACAGAGAAAATTTGTTTTACATTCAATAGTTCATGTGCATTTGATTTCCTGCCCCAATTACCATTCCTGACCATAACAAACTGTGCCCCCATCCCTCTGACTACTCCCCCCCGTCCCCTTCTAATCTGTGCATTCCTGTCTGTCCAGCTTTCCCTCTTTGTGAATGCTGTCCCTCTGGTGTCTCACGGCTGATTGCTCTAAGGGGTGCATCTCCCTGGGGTAGGTGTTCTGCATGTAGGTCTTTCTACTGTTGAGCTGAGAGCAAATCAATGGGAGTGAGTCCATTTCCGAAGGGTAACCCGGGGCCATAGTCTTGGGGGCTTCACCAGACACTATCCAACCAGTAATTCTGGTCATTTTTGTGTTTTTGAATTTTGTTCCACATTTTTCCTCTCACTCTATCCAGGATCTCCAAGTTTTATCCCTTTCCGAATGTTTGGCATTGCTAGCTGGGCACCATCTAGGTCTTCTGGTATCAGGGTCATAAAGGCTGAAGTCCTCGTGGTCCATCTTCTCCTTGGACTAATTGTTTCCAGATGCCTTTATTTTCTTCAATCTTCTTTGATTCAGATGAGAGGAGACCAATAGTTACATCTTAGATGGCTGGTTGAAAGCTTTTAAGACCTCAGTCGCTACTCACCACAGTAGGTTGTGGGACAAGATTTTTATGTACTATGTTGTGTCAATTGAGCATGATGTCCCCCAAGACTATGGTCTCGAGGCAGCAGGCCTGGTGATTCTCTCTCTCAAGGTGTTTGTCTCTGACAGGTTACTGCAACTCTGTCTTCTGAAGCCTGTAATCTTTGATCTTCATCAGTAAGTGCTTCAAATCTTCTTCATTTCCAGTAAGCAAGGTTATGTCATCTGCATATCGCAGGTTGTTATGAAGCTTCCTCTATTCCTGATGTCATGTTCTTCTTCATATAGTCCAGCTTCTCAGATTAGTTGCTCAACATAGAAATTGATAAGTATGGTGACTCACACCTTTCTCATTTTAAACCACGCAGTATCCCCTTGTTCTGTTCTAGAGACTGCCCTTGGTCTATGTACAGGCTCCTCATGAGCACAATTAAGTGTGCTGGAATTCCCATTCTTCACAATATTATCCATAATTTGTTATGATCCACACAGTTGAATGACTTTCTGTAGTCAATTAAACACAGGTAAACATCTTTGTGGTATTCTTTGCTTTCAGCCAAGATCCATCTGATGTCAGCAATGATATCCCTTGTTACATGCCCTCTTCTGAATCTGGCATGAATTTCTTTCAGCTTGAGAAATAACTTAATCTCCCCCAAAAGTCATTATTTTCATGTAGAAAAGGTGATTCCCATTTATTAGAATTTATTTATTATTTATTATGTCCCATTTAAATATCTCATTTATTATTGTTGTTTTTGATAGGATCTGCAACCTTAACACCTTCATCCCCAGGGCTTTGAGATCATTTTAGCCTTGATCTCAGACCACAGCCCTTACCTATCCTCATCTTTTGGCTATAGTCCCCACTTTTCTAATCTTCAGTTCCCTGTCAATATACTCCTACAACCATTTTTCTATTATCTTCAGGAAAATTTTACTTGTGTATAATATTAATGATATTGTTAGATAATTTACGCATTCTGTTGTATCATCTTTCTTTAGAATAGGCACAAGTATGGATCTCTTCCAATCAGTTAGCCAGGTACCTGTCTTCCACATTTTTTGGCATAAATGAGTGAGCGCCTCCAGCACTGCATCAGTTTTTTGAAACAGCTCAATGGGTATTCTGTCAATTCCTGGAGGCTTGTTCTTTGCCAATTCCTTCAGTGCAGCTTCAGCTTCTTCCTTTAATACCACTGGTTCTTGATCATATGCCACCTCCTGAAATAGATGAACATCACCCAATTCTTTTGGTACAGTGATTCTGTGTATTCCTTCCATCTTCTTTTGATGTTTCTTGCATCATTCAATATTTTGTCCATAGAATCTGTCAATATTGTAACTTGAGGCTTGAATTTTTCTTCAGTTCTTTCAGCTTGAGAAATATCTGAACCTCCCCCAAAAGTCATTATTTTCATCTGGAAAAGGTGATTCCCATTTATTAGGACCTTGTTGTCTTTGATAGGATCTATAACCTTATCACCCTCATCCCCAGGGCTTCTAGATAATTTTAGCCTTGATCTCAGACCACAGCCCTTACCTATCCTCATCTCTTGTTTACAGTTTCCACTTTTCTAATCTTTTCTTACTCTGGTTTTACCTTCTTCAGTTTCATAGATAAACATAGTCCCTACCACCAGACCTACTTTCAATAAGTTCCCAAACTGAGCACATCTATGACTAGTTACAAGCACATCTCACTCCCAGAAAAGCCATCTAGTTGTTGTGTCCTAGGGAAGAGATATTTGGAGGATCTTTTCCAGGTCACAAGCTGCCCCAACTACTATTCAACTTGAACCTAGGGACCATGCAAATACATGAAGCTTTGATTTGAGTTTCCCAAGATAGACATGCCAATACACAGGATAAAAGCTTATAAGTATCTCTTTTCTGAGTTAGGGTCTTAATTTTCAAATGTTTCTCCTCTGGTGTTTATTTTCCTCAGTCTCGTTCCCACCATTTCTCCAGAAGTACAACACTTGGCCTTTTCCAGTACCAAATAAGGGTGAGGAGAACAAAGGCTGGCAGAGAGAGAAGCTGGCTTGCTTCTGGACCCAGTATTCTGACTCTGAAAATGGTGTCCTCACCTCTTCTCTCCAGGATATCACACTGTGTGGAATAATTTCCTTTCTCCCTTGTCTACATTTATACTACAGATAGACAAGGAGATTGTTGGATGCACCAGCATGTAAGTCTCAGAGAAATTCAGCTTTCAAAGTTCTGCCATTTAGGTCTCAAGCACACCTCCTACCCTGCCCACCAGCCTCTTTCATCACCACATACTCTTTCCCACAAATGCCCATCCTTTCCATTACTCTATTGGAGCTCTGGTAGCATAGTGCCTAAGGCACTTGACTGCTAACCAGAAGACTGGCAGTTCAAACCCACTAGCCACTCCTCGGAAGGAAGATGGGGCAATCTAATTCCGTAGTGATACTGCCTCGGAAACCCAAGGAGGGGTCACTGTGAGTCTGGTCCGACTCGACGGCACATAACAACAACAACATTACCCACCCATTCTCCTCTACCCACCTTCTCTTCCCAAATACCAGCT